CCAAGTCTTGGAAGGTAGACGGAGGGACTGTGAGAATGAAGGCCTTTGGCCCTGTCCTGGGTTTAGCAGTAGCAGTCATTTTTCTCTTTCTTGGTAGCTGGTGCAGTGCTGTGTTTTGACTTTCGGGATGGGAACAGAGCTGATAATAATGTTTTGGTTTGGCCAAGGACTTTGTGAGCCTCATGCTCTGCCAGGGAGGAGGGGAAGCCGGGAGGAAGCAGAGAGAGGACACCTGACCCAAACTGACCAAAAAGGTATTTCGTACCACAGCACGTCATGCCCAGGAGGTAACTGGGAGTTACCCGGAAGGACAGGGGGTCTTCTGGGTCGGAATTGTTGTTCGGCGGGTGGTACTGTGCTCTTTTCCCTTGTTGTTATCTCTTATCATTGTTGGTGGTGGTGGTAGCGGTGGTGATTTGTGTTGTACATTGGTTGCTGGACTGTTCTTATCTCAGCTCGTGGGACTTGCATTCTTTCGATTCTCGTCCCCATCCCTCCGTGAGCGGGGAAGGGGGGGGAGCTCCCAGGGGGGGACGCGGGCCTTGACTGCTTCCAGCCTGGCACCGCTCACTGGGAGTGAGTGCACAAGCTGTCTGTCTGGGTTTAAGCCATGACAGAACTTCAATATGAGCTGGAGCCAAAGGTAGCTAAGTGGTATGCCACAACTGATACTGCTAATACATTTTTCTCAATCCGTTTGGTAGCAGAGTGCAGGCCAGAGTTCACTTTTACTTGGAGGGGTGTCCAGTACACATGGAAACACAGCCCTACCATCTGCCATGGACTGATCCATTATACAAATTTACCAAGGGTGTACTAGATCCCCTCATCCAGATTAGTGATAAAGATATTAAACAGAACTAGACTCAATACTGAACCCTGGGAAAAAATACTTCTGTCTAGCCACCAGCTGGATTCACATCCATTCACCACCACTCTTTGGGACTAGCCTTCCAGCCAGTCTTTTACCTAGTGAAGAGTGCACCCATCCAAGTCATGAGCAGTGAGTTTCTCCAGGAAAAAGCTGTGGGAAAGTCTTTACTAAAGTCTGGGTAAACAAGATCCTCATCCTTTCCCTCATTGACTAAGCTGGTCACCTTCTCATAGAAGGAGATCAGGTTAGTCAAGCAGGATCTGTGTTTCATAAATCCATGCTGACTGGGCTGTGCTGTACATGCCACATGATGTCACTCAAGATCATCTGCTCCATAACCTTCCCAGTACCAAGGCCAGACTGACAGGCCTGTAGCTCCCCAGATCCTCCTTCCAGACCTTCTTGTGGATGGGCGTCACCTTTCCTAACCTCCAGTCACCTGTGACCTCCCCAGTTAGCCAGATGATGCCAGCTCTTTGGCTGGAATATCTCTGCATTGCTCCGAGCATTTATTATAGGTGCTGGCAACTGACTGGGTGTGTTGGGATGGAATGATGTCCCCCTCCCCCAACACATCTAGTTTAAAGCCTCCTTGACCAGCCTGGCAAGCCTCCTACCAAACTGCTCTTTCCCTTCTTTATCAGACTAGCTCCACCAGGCCCCCAGTAGACCTGGCTTACAAACCCGGGTCCCGTGTTCCAGACACCCAAACCCCTGACTGTGACACCACCCTTTTAACCATTTATTAACCTGGCTAATCCTCCTAGCTTTTTTTTAGGTTCTCCCCTGTATCCTGGAGAATTGACGAAAAGACTACCTGAGCTCCAGAGCCCCTAACCACGTCTCCCAGGGCTCTGTAGTCCTTCTTTACGTTCCCCAGACTACTACTATCTATATCCCTAGCGCCCTCATGTTTCACTGGAAGCAGGTAATAGTCCGTGGGACTTACTAGAGCAGGCAGCCTCTCTGCAACATCCCTGATCCGTGTCCCTGGTAGGCAACACACCTCCCTTGAGATCGGGTCAGGCCGACAGACGAGTGTTTCTGTCCCTTTCAAAGTAGAATCCCCTACTACTACGACCCGCCGCTTTTTCCTGGCAGCACCAGTAGAGATCTTCTTTACCAGTGCATCAGCCAGCTGTTTCTGGTGTGAGTGCTTTTAGCTTGGTGTCATTTGCAAACTTGATGAGGGTGCACTTGATCCCACTGTCTATGTCATTGATGAAGATATTCAACAGTTCTGGTCACACTATGGACCCCTGAGGGATACCACTCATCACTGGTCTCCATCAGAACACTGAGCTGTTAGTCACTACTCTCTCGATGCAACCATTCAACAAATTCCTTATCTACCAAACAGTCCATCCATCAAATTTGTCCCTCTCCAACTGGAGAGAAGGATGTTGTGAGGGACGATGTCAAAGGCCTTACAGTTAGCTCTTCCCTTGTCCACTGATGGAGTCACTCCATCATAGAAGGCCACTAGGTTGGTCAGGCAGGACTTGCCTTTGGTGAAGCCATGTTGGCTGTCTCAAAGCACCTCCCTGTCCTCCACATGCCCTAACATAGCTTCTAGGAGCATCTGTTCCATGATCTTCCCAGGCACAAAGGTGAGGATGACATGTCAGTAGTCCCCAGGGTCCTCCTTTGTACCCTTTTTAAAAATGGATGCAGTGTTTCCCTTTTTCCAGTCACCAGGGACTTCTCCTGATGGCCATGACTTTTCAAATATCATGAAGAGTGGTTTGGCAACTAAATTTCCTCAGGACTCTGGGATGCATCTTGTCGGGTTGAATAGACCTATATGTGTTGAGGTTCCTCAGGTCATCTTGAACCTGATCTTCACTTACGGTGCAAGGGACTCTGCCATCCCTCTCTTGAGAGGTGTAGGAAGAGAGGTTGCCAGAGAAGACATAGGCAAAAAAGTTGTTGAATACCTCAGCCTTCTCCTCGTCTGTTGTTACCAGTTTGCATGTCACTTCTGTCTGCAAGAAGGACCCTGAGAACTACTGGCTAGCCAGCCTCACCTCAACCCCTTAGAAGTTGATGGAGCAGCTAATCCTGGAAATTATTTCCAGGCACATGAAAGACAAGAAGGTCATTAGGAGTAGCCAGCATGGCTTCACCTAGAGGAAATCATATTTGACCAACTCGATAACCTTCTGCGATGAAGTGACTGGTTTTGTAGATGAGGGGAGAGCAGTGGATATAGTCAAACTGGTCTTAAGGAAGGCCTTTGACACTGTTCCATAAGGTCGTCATGGACAAGCTCTTGATTTATGGGCTGAATAAGCAGAGTGAGGTGGGTTGAAAACTGGCTGAACAGCTGGACCCAGAGGGTGGTGATGAGCAGTGAAAAGTTTAGTTGGAGTCCAGTAACTAGTGGTGTACCCAAGGGGTACATACTGGGTCCAGTCCTTTGCAACATCTTCATTAATGGGCTGGATGACAGGGCAGAGTGTGCCTTCTGCATGTTTGCAGATTGACACCAAATGGGGAGGAGTGGCTGGTATGCCAGAGGGTGGTGCTGCCATCCAGAGGGTCCTTGACAGGTTGGGTAAATGACTTGAAAGAAACCTTATGAAGTTCAACAAGGGGAAATGCCAGGTCCTGCACCTGGGGAGAACAACCCCATGCAGTACATGCTGTGGGGCCAAACAGATGGAAAGCATCTTTGCAGAAGTCGTGAGGGTCTTGGTAGACACCACATTGAACATGAGCCAGTAATGCACCCTTGATACAAAGAAGGCTAATGGTATCCTGGGCTGCATTAGGCAAAGTATTGCCTGCAGGTCAAGGAAGGTGATCTTTCCCTTCTGCTCACTGCTGGGGAGGCTGCATCTGGAATATTGTGTCTAGTATTGGGCTTCCTGGTATAAGAGACTGATGGCACTAACTGGAGAGAGCCCAACAAAGGGCCACAAAGATGATCAAGGGACTGGAACATCTCTCCTATGAGGAAAAGCTGAGAGAGCTGGGACAGAGAAGAGAAGGCTCAAGGAGGAGAGATCATTCATGTATATAAATACCTGAAGGGAGGGTTCAAAGAAGACAGAGCCAGGCTCTTTCCATTGGTGTCCAGGGACAGGACAAGAGGCAGTGGGCACAAACTGAAGCCCATGAGGGTGAACAAGCACTGGAATAGTTTGTCCAAAGAGGTGGTGGAGTTTCCTTCCCTGGAGATATTCAAGAGCCATCTGGAGATGGTCCTGGGCAACTGGCTCTAGGTGACCTTGTTTGAGCATGGAGGTTGGAGCATATGACCTCCAGAGGTCCTGTCCAACCTCAGTCATTCTTCAGTTCTGTGAATTGGATTTATAGCATGCATAGTAATGATTGAATAGTGTTTCAAGTCTCAAGCCTGATTAAGCACAATGTCAAATATCTGTTTTATTCTCATATAGCAAAGATGACAGCTAGCAGTGTTAGTGGAGCATTCTCTGTGAATCACTAGAAAAACTAGGAACACTAAGAAAATTATCATTAAATGATATACTATAGGTTAGATGCAGAGTGTTTTGGTTTGTTTTTCTTTAAACTCATCGTGCATGTGTTAATATAGCTACATCATAATTCTTCAAATAAGAGGAATAACATGACGTGCTGTGGTATGGAATACCTCTTTGGCTAGTTTGGGTCAGGTGTCCTGTCTCTGCTTCCTCCCTGCTTCCCCTCCTCCCTTGCAGAGCATGAGGCCCTGAAAGTCCTTGGCCAGACCAAGCATTTGAGCAGTACCTGAAAACATCACTGCTATCAACATCGTTCCCAGGCCGAAAGTCAAAGCCACAGCACTGCACCAGCTACCGAGAAGGAGAAAAAATGACTGCTACTGCTGAACCCAGGACAGCCAGTGATGTCGTACCTCTGGGACTAGGCCAAAGCTTCTGGATCCTGTTGTTTATTCCTCATGCTGTGCCCATTAGTATAGAGGCATGATAGAACAAGACGATGTTCTTTCTTTTAGTGTGGAAAAATCTATGGAATTTAAGTTATTATTGTGATACAGGGAGGAAATTAATTTTCCCTATAGTTGCAACTGTGGTATAACTGAATATCAGGCTGTACTTGTGGGCCTAGTCATAAATTCCTGTGTGGTCCAGGAATTCCCCAGCTTGTTTCCGCCTAGATGAGACAATGGATTGATTTGAGACAAGGTGATTGTGAATCTACATAGAAGTTAATTCAACAAGTCAACTAATAGCTACAGGACCACTCTCTAGGTGGGTGGGATTCTGGACAGTCCAGGTGGTTCCCCCAGACAGCCCCTGCTGTGCATAGGCCAAATGATAAGCACTACTTCTATGCTTCAGTGTGTAGATTAATATCCTAGGTGGAAAATTTGGCAGTCTGAGTGATTCCCTTCAGTTAGTTCCTGCTGTAGAGAAAGGAACTGACCAAACTGTACATAAATAAGGTAATCTTAGTCATTTGTATTGGGATTGACATGGTAAGGTTTTGGTGATGGGTGGGTATGTCTGCTGAGGTGGCCTCTGTGAGAAGAGGCATGGGACTGCCCTGTGCTGGATATATCCAGCTCCAGCTAGCTCAGCAATGGACCATAATGATCCTGACTGAAAGACCATTGTACATTTAAGCATTAGTGATGCACATAACAGTTAATCCAAGTATGATCAGACCTATGCTGTGCTTCACTGCACATACAACGTGGCCTTCAGGCTTATGTTGTGCTGCACATAGTCCTTGGCCACAGGATAAACTCATTGCCGCACAGGAGCCTGCAGGCAGCTCACATGCATCATCAGCGATTATGCCATGTGCATGACCTTGCTTTATCTAACAGTGAAGCAAAAAGTTAAGCCCACTCTTATGCCAATGCCATATGGCAGTATTAAGCATTCCTATAGGAGGTGTGCCCACATAGAGGAACTCCTCCACTTAATGACAGAGCTCTGAGAGGAGGTGAGTAGGTTGAGGAGTATCAGGAAGACCAGGAGAGAAATAGACTACTAGAATCACACCCTACCTTTCCTGGGACAGGCCCAAGAAGCAGACAGAATAGAATCATAGAATCATAGAATAATTAGGGTTGGAAAGGACCTTAAGATCATCAAGTTCCAACCCCCCTGCCATGGGCAGGGACACCTCGCCCTAAACCATATTACCCAAGCCCTCGTCCAACCTAGCCTTGAACACTTCCAGGGATGAAGCATTTACAACCTCCCTGGACAACCTATTCCAGTGCCTCACTACCCTAACAGGAAAGAATTTCCTCCTTATATCCAATCTGAACTTCCCCTGTTTAAGTTTTAACCCATTACCCCTTGTCCAACCACTACAGTCCCTAATGAAGAGTCCAAGAGAATGCATGATATGGAGGATTCCCTATCATCTCTCCACCTGGCTGAACATGATGACTGGGATAAGGGGCAATGGCAACAAGTTCCCATCCTGGGTGCCATGCATAACAGGCACAAGGCATAATAGCGCGAGAATAATGTTAATAAAACACTGATGGTTTAGTTGTTGCTATGTAATGCTTACTCTAAATCAAGGTCTTTTTAGTTTTTCATGTTCTGCCAGTGATCAGATGCACAAGAACCTGGGAGGGAGCAGAGCCAGGATAGCTGACCCAAACTAGCCAAAGGGGTATTCCATACCATAGAACATCATGCTCAATATATAAACTGGGGATAGTTGGTCAGGAGCCTCTGATCGTTGCTGGGGAATGGGCTCAGCATTGGTCATCAGGTGGTGAGCAATTAAATTGTACGTCATTTGTGGTTTTTATTTTTTTTATTTTTCCTCCTTTTATTTATTTTGTTCCCTATTATTTTCATCAATATTGTTATTGCTGTTATTTCCATTATTAGTATCTTTTACTTCATTTTGGTTTTTAATCTGCTCCGGTTGAGAAACTTTTACCCAACCCCTTCCTTAAAGCACTCAAGCAGTAAAACAAAGGCATAAAGCACCCTTTCTATTTTAACAGTCAAAATGATTAAAGAGGGGACTAGTCTATTCCCTTGGTTCTTCTTCTTTCCCATCATTACATTGATAGCAACATTTATTATACATGGTACACTGGTCACAGGTGCATTGGTAACAATGATTCCTAAGTTCTTGACACGAATCATTCTCATATTCTTTACAATTCCCCCATTTGTTTTTATGTAACCTATTGATTCGTGTTTTAGCTTCTAATCTAATGACTGCTTTCCGAGATGCAGATAATATTGGTGTCGCCCTTGTTTTTAATATCATCAGTAAGTTCCTCCTTGATTTGTCTTTTCAGATTCCAATGGTATAACAGTTAATTGCATGTTCTGGACAACTGTACGTATCAATTTGGTAAAGCACATGATTATACATGGAATAATTAACATTCCTCCAAAATTGATTCCATTCCAGGTTTGTGCTGGAACATGGGCTACCTTTTCATTTCCCTTATTAATTCATTTATGGCTTTTCCTTCATCATCTATTTCTAGACAACAATTACTAAGATTAAATTTTCCACAGACCCCTCCTTCCTGAGCTAACAAATAATCTAAAAGTAGCCGATTCTGATATATTGCAGTTCTCATCTTGGTATTCTGCTTTGCAACTAATCCTAATGCATCTCCTGTTTTATTTACCACTATTTCCACTACATCTTGTAACCTTATAATCCTGTTCATCATATATATAGGAGTCCTGTATCCCCAGGACCCATCTTCAGCCCAAGTTGCCGGATCATAGTGTGAGATTATTCGTTCAGGTGGCCGCTCATTGTCCTTCCAATTAACAATTTGCAGTTCTCTTTTATATTGTTTTCTCCTTAGTTCATTGGTCTCTGTGTATAACTGGACTCCTAAGCGTTCCCCTCTGTTTATAGGTAATAAGAAAAAACTAGGTCTGATTGTTCCCAATTGTCGTGGTATAAACCCAGACAGACAGCTTGTTACCCACTTGAATAGTAAGTGGTGGTGTACTGACTCTCTAGATTTTTCTTTAATTATTATTTGTAAAATCACCCCTGGATCTTCGCCAGGTCCATAAATCAAAAGTCCAATTTTTACCTCTTCTTGTTTCCATTGCTCTGGATTCCAGATAGTTAGATTGACAGGGTTACAAGAATGGGCTGTACAATTGGGAAAAGTTATTCCCTTTTTAATCTCTGCCCTCAATTGGGTTCCCTTGCATTCTTGGGGCCATCCCCAGGTAGGAGTTGTACTCCAATAGGCACAATTCCATCCAGTATGTCCACAAAAATGATAACTTCTTTCTGACTGACTATCATAATCCCAATCTGCATAACAACCTGTAGGTAAATATGGTCTCTCTTTTGGTTGGGGGCAAATGTATTTTTCACATTCTCTCAATTTGAATATAGGTCATACAGGTTGGCTTAGATTAGTTATTATTTGGCTTGTTGCCATTAGTCTTCCTTCTGCTGAGTTTGTTCTTATCTCTATCCAATATTGATGGGGGAGTTCTTTCGGATTAAAACAAAATGTTTTATTTTCCCTTTCTTTACAAAGTCTGTATTGAGTTTGGTTGTGTACACAATTGCCAATTATTGTTCCTTTACATTCATACATGGTGTGATAGACTAGTGTTTGAGAGGTTACTCTCTCTCGTCTAGCTGTGGTAATGCATTCATTACAGTCGTCGCTTTTATCAGCCGCTGCATTTGCCCATATGAGCCCAATCAGAACCATCTCCAAAAGAGGTCCGGTCAGGATCATAGTGCTCAGTGGTCACAGCCCCAGGGGTTGCAGCCCTCGGCAGACCCTTCCAGCTGCAGCACCGATTCCCTCCGTCTTGCCCTCCCTGGCAGGTCAATTTCCCGTTGGCCATTACAGCAATAATATTTGACCCACAACAACTGTTCCAACGGGGTTGTAGTTTCACACCGAATGCAAAAGAACTGAAATTGATTTCTCAGTAATTGTTCTTGGTGTCCTTTACAAGTAATAGTATATTTTGAATAACTGGGACTCTTTGCCCTAATATACAGATTGCAGTGTCTACAGATAGGACATGGACTGGTATTAGCCCTTATTCTATTATTTATTGAGATTATTTCAGTTGTGCCTGATTTTCCCATATCATATCTACAGGAGTCAGTATGAATTCCCTCAGTTACTTGTTTAAGTCCTCTTGAGGGTTAGCTTGGTGTCTCCAGGTTGTCACAACTTTCCATTCTCTTATGGGTTCTTTCACTCGTGACGCATGTGTTCACCCCTTTTCAGCAGTTCTTATCGCTGTTTCTGTAGTTAAAAGAACAAGAAATGGTCCTTCCCAACAAGGGGATAAACTTTCTTCTCTCCAGCTTTTTATTAGTACCTTGTCCCCTGGTTAAGTGACATCCTCCAACTTGGGGTGACCTATTGGTAGTCCCCGGGTATATGGCATCCCATTTAACACTTCAAAAGGTGAAATTCCAGTAGTCGAATTTGGCATGGTCCTAATATTTAGTAAGGATAGGGGAAGACATTTGATCCATGGCATTTTAGTTTCAATCATTAATTTTGATAACTGGTGTTTTAAAGTTTGATTCATCCTTTCTACTCTCCCAGAACTCTGGGGATGCCAAGGGGTGTGATAATCCCATTGGATTCCTCTGATTTAACGTCAAATAAGTTGCTCCTGTATCCACTTAAAATTCCACTTTATTTATAGAAACACAGAATAGTTAGGGTTGGAAAGGACCTTAAGTTCGTCAAGTTCCAAACCCCTGCCATGGGCAGGAACACCTCACTCTAAACCATATCACCCAAGGCCTTGTCCAACCTGGCCTTGAACACTGCCAGGGATGGAGCATTCACAGCCTCCCTGGGCAACCTATTCCAGTGCCTCACCACCCTAACAGGAGAGAATTTTCACCTTATATCCAATCTAAACTTCCCCTGTTTAAGTTTTAACCCATTACCCCTTGTCCTGTCACTACAGTCCCTAATGAAGAGTCCATCCCCAGCATCCCTATAGGCCCCCTTCAGATACTGGAAGTCTGCTATGAGGTCACCACACAGCCTTCTCTTCTCCAGGCTGAACAGCCCCAACTTTCTCAGCCGATCTTCATATGGGAGGTGCTCCAGTCCCCTGATCATTCTCGTGGCCCTCCTCTGGACTTGTTTCAACAGATCCATTCCAACAGATCCATTCCTCTAGTTCCTCGTTTTAATTAATCAGTGGACCTGCTAGGGAAGATTCCCCAGGTCCCTGTCAGTCTAGTTCCAATTCAGTCAACAGAGCCACCCCATGGTATTCCCCCCCAGGGCAGTCTCACTTCCAGGGTCCAAACTCCTCATAACACGCATGTCAGAGACTCTATGTCGTCGCGATGCGGAGGGAACACAGCACAATCAATATGATTGATAAAGTGATCCGTTTATTCTGTTTAAGCCTAGGGTATATATAGAGCTAGATTGCTACACACACACATTCTTGGGAAACTCCTGTGGTTACATCCCTTCTTCTAACATCCTTGTTCCTCCCTTCAGGATGCTCGTTAACTACAAGGTCAGCTTATCCTTTTGCACAACTGGTGTTTTACTGAGCTGGGTTTCTAACTGACTTTTACAAAACTGGTCCCTGGCCAAGTTCAGCCATGGGAACGTAACCCTTGTCTGCTAACCATGCTTCCACAATTCCCCCTTTTTCTTTTTCAAGCATATTTGTTACAATTTTCATAAGGCTTTGCTGAATACATTGAATAATGCAAGGCAAACAAATCAAGATAAACAAAATCAAGATACATACAGGCAAAAAATGACTTAAAATACTGCTTAGCCAGGATCCTAGTCCCAGTGATCTTAACCAGGAGGTGAGGTCCCAAGAGTCACCTTCTTTTAATTTGTGCAAGTTGTCTTTGAGTTGTTGCAGCTCCTTGTGAATAGAGCTACTATGGTCTGAGAGGTTCATGCAACACGTATGGCTCTCTGGTAACAGCGGGTCCATCCTTCACATCAAGGTCTGGCATGGCATGTGTCCCCACCGCTCCACGCCTGCTGGGTTGCAGCCAGCAGCGGAGCTAAAGGTTCTTCTTGGTTGCAGGCACAGAGGCCAACCCAGTCTTGCCCTTGATTGTGGTAGCACGTATTTGGTCAGCCTCAGTCCTTGCATCTTGTTGTCAATGCAGTTTCACCTGCTTCATCCAATAACAATCTGTTATTACAGCAAGGCACACACACTGATTTACATTAGCAGAGTAACTATTACAGGGTGCAGCAGCATGTTGAAGATGCTGATGCCAGCAAGGGACTAGCCAAAGAAATTTCTTACCAGTGGAATTCTCTCACCCTCTTAATTTGTTCCGTTACCTGTTTTATAACACTACTATTGTATTAGAATATTTCTATCTTTTGCTTTAGCATTTTCTAGCAGCTACTACAAATTTGCATACTCTAACATCTCTTTTACAAGTGACATATCTATACAATACAAGGTGTAGTTTCTTATCAGCAACTGGCTAGTAGTTGGTTTCATACACAAAATCAAAGCCTCTAACAATAGCTATTTTACAAGCACACATATTAAAGCTCTTACTTTTCAATTGCTCTTAAATAATGTTTAGCAATCATTGGTTTTTCTCTTCCTCTATCTCATTCTGTTTAGGGTTTTCACATTCAGCTCCTGTAGCTGAAGCATCTCGGCTTCCTCCATTCATCCGTCCAGATCATGGCAAGGCTTGACAAACTTTGCAGGCATTCGCGATGGACCTGTAGGCAGGAGGACACAAATATACCCCCTCCTCCAGGTTATCAGTTCTTGAGAAGTAGATAGGTTCTGTATCTGCCACTCTGATGCTGCTTAGGTGATGGCTCGTAAGGCTTGTGTTTGCACTACCCCTCTCGCTTTTTCAGTTAGCAGTTCTTGTTTCAACCGATCTATCTGTTCCTCCAAGTCTTGTATTCATCCCCAGGTTACTTTAAACATATTAAGCTTGGTTTTGTTTTATTTTGTTTTGTTTTTTCTCTCCTCAGCTCTGGTGTCCATCCTGGTCCTTCCACCGGTGGAGCACTGGGAGCCGAATTGGAGGGCAGCTGTTTTTGAACATGGGGACTAAACTCTTATCAAATAACCTTGTTTTCTTTTTTTTGTTTTTTTTTTTTTTTGAAGTTGCTCACCCTGCTTTGCACGGGCTACAAATGCCTGCCTGCTCGGCAGCAGCTACAGCTGCCTGCCTGCTTCAGCAGCAACCATAAATATCTGCCGGCAACCGCACTTTTGCATTAACCCTTTCTTGTCTGAAATGTTAAACTACTATCTATTAGAAACTTTTACATGAACCCAACAACAAAAAATACACAGAACACCGTCTGCCCTTAACACACACACACACATATGGGATCCCACAAGCACAGTCCACACAACTACAATATTTGAAGCACAAAATCCCAACAATCATTACTTCCACTACACAATCGCACGTACAGAACGTGGCACAAGGACCCTGTGGAGACTAACAAGAAAACCAGCTCCAAGAAGCATCATCACAGTGCAAGGTGGCAGGCCCAACCTTAGCAGGCGTCCCCGCAGAGGCTCTGCCTCCCCCCACATCGCATGAGGCTTGGGCTTTTATACTGGCCAAAATGCACACTCATTCTGACACAGGTGGCCAGCCTATGTTGGAAGAAGTAGCCAGTAGTATTTATAAAGGTGTCCAAAGGTCAATAGAAACCTGGACATACTTATTTTTACCAGCTTCTAGTACATGAGTATCACAGAGAGAATGTATTAAGTGAGTTGTATATGGGGTCATAAGTCCACAGTCCATCATAGACCTTTCCACTGCAGGTCTTGATGCAGAAATTTAACATAAAAAAGGTTGCTCCCTTCATCTTAAGAAGGACTGAAAACATCCATAAAACGGATGTCCTAAGATCAAATTTCAGTTCATTCAGTCATTGACAAGGGGGGTGTCCTGGGGCAGTGTTGACTTTTTTCCAGTGTTTCACCCATCGAGCTGGCACCCACTTCAGACCAGAATCTGTAATTACAAATATGCATAATAAAATATGTACATTTACAAATATTTACAAGATGTAATAGGGTTTTTAACAAGATCCACAACCTGTGATTAGTGACTTCTTGTAAAATTGCCCTTTCTATACGTTGAACAATGCTTACAACATATAAAGAATCGCAGACAATACTAAGAGGGGTGTCAGGCCATCGTTGAAATACTGCAATAACAGCACTTAGCTCTAGTGTTTGTAGCAAATTGGAAAAATGACCAAATATCTTCTGCTCTTTCCAACCATCGTCTGTTTGTCAAACATATCCGGCTGTGTGATTGATTTTGCTTGCATCTGTAAAGACAGTTAATCCTACAACAGGTTTACTAGGATAAAAGGTAACATCTTCAAACTGATTATTCTTTAGCATTGTAAACATATTATGAGGTGGAAAATGTATATTAAGAGGACCAACAAAACCTATCAGAGCAAACTGAACAGCAGAGCTAGATTGTTGTGCCCAGTCTAACCATACCCTGGTAAGTGGCAAACAAATTTGTGATGGATCACAGCCCATAATTTTCTGACAACGTGAACAACCTCGTATAATCAAAAGAGCAAATACTTCTAACCGAGTAGTTACAGTAGTCGCTGCTCTCTGTCTGGTGCAATTACCAGTCCTGCTTTCGCTAATTCTGATTGTAGCAGGTAGAGCAGATGGTCCTTGTTTAAATCTTTGCCTGCAATTAGGATATCATACATATAGTGATAGATAACACATTTTTGCTGTTTTTGTCGGATCTGTTGCAATACTCAGGCAACATACAGTTGACAAAGAACAGGAGAATTTTTCATACCTTGAAGTAAAACAACCCATTCATATCTCTTAGCAGGCTCTCCTTTGTTAATTGCTGGGACAGAGAAAGCAAATTTTTCACAATCGCTTGGGTGTAGAGGAATTGTGAAAAAACAGTCTTTTAAATCAGTTACTATTAAATCCCAACCCTGAGTTATCATTAAAGGGCTAGGCAAGCTAGGTTGCAAAGCAACAACATTCAATTGTCTTGTGTCCAAATTTGTCACATCTAATACATTTATCTGCAAAACCAATAACACTATTGGGGGGGGCGGCGGGCTGCTGAACTAATTTTCTTTACAGTACACTGTTTCTTTTTAAAATGTCTCGTCCGTCCACAATTATAACATCTCATACCTTTAGCACCCCCATGATCGCCCTAATCTCATTGTAAAAGGGGTTTAACAGCAGCAACAAAGGTAGTAGCCTTGTATCCAGCCTTTTCCTCTGCTGTGCTCACTTTAAATCGTATCTGAAGGTGGGGAGTAAGCAACAATTGAGCTATCATACAGATATCATATGGTGCTAAGATATATGCAGAAAAAATATGTGCGATAATTGCTTGAGTATACGATGATTTTAACCCATAGGATATTACTGGTTGACGCGCCTCCTTTACTAACTTTAAATCCAATGCCTCCCTCTCCTTTCCCCCTGTGGAGTGTTAAACACCGGGAATGCCGAGGGACCCATAGCCGAAAATTCCCCCATAACAATTGCATCTTTTATCATCCCTTGAAAACCTTTAGCAGGGTTATTACCGTAATCCAGTACCCCGTGCCCAACATCCCCCTCCCACTCCCCTTTCTTTACTACTGGATTGTAGGAGGGTGGGGCAGAGGGTTTGGAGGTTTCTTTTGTCTCCAATGCTTCTAATTTCTTCAGCAGCTGTCACAGTTGACCATCACTGAGGCTGGTTTGCATCTGCCGACGAGCCGAACTGTCTGAGTCGGGATCAGGAAGGGAAGGGTACAAGTCTGGTTCTGCCGGAGACTCTGGGTATGGTTCCAATTCCAATTCGGGGTCTTCTTCCTCTAGGTCAAAGGTGACTGCATTTGCACTTTCTACTTGTACTTTCGGACGCAGGCACTGTTTCACTTTATCTTCCCCCTTATGCTGAGGAGGCTTCTGCGGTGCATAATCGAGAAGGGCGGTAAACTCTTTCCCTAAGTCTATTTCTTTCCCTATACCTCACTTCTCTAAGAAGCACTTAAATAAATCATAGGCTGCCTGTCTTTCCATATCCATTTCTATATTCTTCACAAATTACACAGATTTGGCTATTCTTCACAAGTTACACAGCTTTACGCAGCTTTACAGAGCTTTACAGACCTTTTTATATTCTTTCACAGCTTTTTATATTCTTCACGAGTTACACAGCTTTGACGCCAATGCAGCTTACCCCGCAGACAGCCAAATTAGCCGGCGGCGATGGCAGAGGATCCTCTACCGGTGACCTGGCTTCTCTCCTCCAGGTCCTCGAGGCGACTCGGTACTCTTGTCCAGCAAGATCAGTGCCTTTGACCCTCCGGATGCTGCTTTTCCGGTGCTTCCTCGCTCCGCTCGCGTTGACCCCAGCCTCTACAGGTACCTGGGTTTCTTTGTCTCGCCTGGGTCTAAGTCCCTTGTTCAGGTGCCAATTTGTTGGAGACTCTATGTCATCGCGATGCGGAGGGAACACAGCACAATCAATATGATTGATAAAGTGATCCGTTTATTCTGCTTAAACCTAGGGTATATATAGAGCTAGATTGCTACACACACACATTCTTGGGAAACTCCTGTGGTTACATCCCTTCTTCTAACATCCTTGTTCCTCCCTTCAGGATACTCTTTAACTACAAGGTCAGCTTATCCTTTTGCACAGCTGATGTTTTACCAAGCTGGGTTTCTTACTGACTTTTACAAAACCGGTCCCTGGCCAAGTTCAGCCATGGGAACGTAACCCTTGTCTGCTAACCACGCTTCCACACACGCACACTGATCCGGCTCCACAGAAGAGGAGCACACTCCCTTGGTTTTCCTATTTTTTTTCTGTTTCTTTTTTTTTTTGTGACGGTTGCCCACCTTGCTCTGCAGGGGTTGCAGATGTCTGCCTCTGCAGCAGCACTTCTGGTTTAACCCTTTCTTAACTCTGAATGTGAATGTGCTGCTTGTTGCCAGTGACACCAATATCCTCCTCCTTATCAATATCTGATAGGACAGATATAGAGGATGCACCTCTTGGAGGTACCCATGATATTATCATTTTCCTATTTATTTTCCTGATTACTGTTTTGTGGGGGTTTTTTGTTTGGTTGGGTTTTTTGTTGTTTTTGGTTTTTTTTTTTTAACTTTTAAATATCATTTCTCCAATATCACAGCTGAACAACATCCCTCCAGCTTAGCTTTCTGTTTTTCCCTGTCCTTTTCCAAAGCCAAAATTAGGGCATATTAATTTCATATTCTGTGTGCCACTCCAGGTGGTTTCTTAAGGTGATAAACGTATCTGCATACATCACTTCATCCCATTTTCCTGGCCACCTCAAAACCAACGTTCATTGTATTATAATTCAGAGTTCCATTTTTAGGCCATTTCTCCTGATCTTCCAAAGTATATAAAGGCCACAATTGGTTACAATGTTTTATCAACATTTTCTTCTTTACCGAGCCTCCAGGAAACCCTCCCAGTTCTTTCCAGTGTTCCAAAATGCACCCTAAAGGACTCTTTTTCAAGATCTCTTCACTCTGCCAATTTCCCATTATCAGTCTCACATTCACACACACACGGGATCCCACAGACACACTCCACACAGTTAAAACACTTGAGACAGAGACAAAAATCGTATCAAACTAACAATTAACAGTTATAAAAGTCTGTCACCAATACCAAAATCACAAGACCAAAATCATCACTATAACAAGCCACAAAATAGACACTCCTCTTGATTGAAAGGTGCCTTACCATTTACATATAGATTTAAAGCCTGACAAATCCAATCATCAAAACACCCAAATACTGGCCATTATAAATGGTCAGGCTGAATTTCCTCTTTGGTCCACACTTCCATACAGTAATGGACCTTTTTTTTTCCTTACTCTTTTCCTCCTGGGATGGCCAAGAGCCCCAGTACTTAAGTATTAACCCCAAGGGACTGTCTGGGGGGTATATCTGGTGATTAGCTCCCTACCTTATTCCTGGGACCTCTCCATGGGCCCCTACCTGGGACCTCTCCATGGGCCCCTTCCTGGGTTAGAGTTACAACTCCTACTCTGACCCATTTCCCGCCGGGTGTGCTTCCTCTCAGTCAATCACTATCACTTCCCTCCTTCAGTGGACAAGTCCCTCATGGGAGATTGGAAACACGCTTAGAAGAGGTCCACACTCACTTCACAGATCCTGATACCCTGGTCCGTGTCTCACCATACACTCCGTCTCTTCACCGACTGGTTTCTTCACTGAAACCACGGTTAGAGGAAAACCACGCAACCTTGTTGCGTCTTACATACATGCACATACCGGCTTCGCATTGATCTCACGAGACTGCCCGGGACTAGAACTCACGAGCCACAAATTGTGGGGCGCCTCCTCGTAAGTGCTACAGTCCCAAGCAACCACACAGAGATCATATCGGGGTCACACATTTTTGTCATAAAAATTCGTCTTAACCATGATCTGGTTTAGTTATTTTATTACAGTTGATTAATATCGAGAGGCAGTAAGCAAGCAGCGCTGGGTGCTCTGGGGAGTCTCTGCTCCGCCAACGACTCAAACTGGGTTCTTTGGGGTTCAGTCTTTTATACTTTGTGGTCATGGGTCTCAGCCAATCCTGTCGACATGGCTCCTTTCTATTGTTCTTCCTTGGTTGCTGGGGTCTTGTCTCCGGTTGAGAAACTTTTACCCAACCCCTTCCTTAAAGCACTCAAGCAGTAAAACAAAGCCATAAAGCACCCTTATAATATTAACAGTCAAAATGATTAAAGTAGGGACTAGTCTATTCCATTGTTTCTTCTTCTTTCCCATCATTACATTGATAGCAACATTTATTATACATGGTACACTGGTCACAAGTGCATTGCTAACAATGATTCCTAAGTTCTTGACACAAATCATTCTCGTATTCTTTACAACATGAGCCAGTAATGTGCCCTTGATACAAAGAAGGCTAATGGTATCCTGGGCTGCATTAGGCAAAGTATTGCCTGCAGGTCAAGGAAGGTGATCTTTCCCTTCTGCTCACTGCTGGGGAGGCTGCATCTGGAATACTGTGCCCAGTATTGGGCTTCCTGGTATAAGAGACTGATGGCACTACTGGAGAGAGCCCAACAAAGGGCCACAAAGATGATCAAGGGACTGGAACATCTCTCCTATGAGGAAAAGCTGAGAGAGCTGGGACAGAGAAGAGAAGGCTCAAGGAGGAGAGATCATTCATGTATATAAATACCTGAAGGGAGGGTTCAAAGAAGGCAAAGCCAGGCTCTTTCCATTGGTGTCCAGTGACAGGACAAGAGGGAGTGGGCACAAACTAAAACACAGGAGGTTCCATCTGAACATAAGGAAAGACTTTTTTTTGACCATGAGGGTGAATAAGCACTGGAATAGTTTGTCCAAAGAGGTGGTGGAGTTTCCTTCCCTGGAGATATTCAAGAGCCATCTGGAGATGGTCCTGGGCAACTGGCTCTAGGTGACCTTGTTTGAGCATGGAGGTTGGAGCATATGACCTCCAGAGGTCCTATCCAACCTCAGTCATTCTTCAGTTCTGTGAATTGGATTTATAGCATGCATAGTAATGATTGAATAGTGTTTCAAGTCTCAAGCCTGATTAAGCACAATGTCAAATATCTGTTTTATTCTCATATAGCAAAGATGACAGCTAGCAGTGTTAGTGGAGCATTCTCTGTGAATCACTAGAAAAACTAGGAACACTAAGAAAATTATCATTAAATTATATACTATAGGTTAGATGCAGAGTGTTTTGGTTTGTTTTTTTTTTTTATCTCATTGTGCATGTGTTAATATAACTACATCATAATTATTCAAATAAGAGGAATAACATAAGAGCTGTAGATATAATTTCTCAAGTTACATGCTCATATAAGATTGTCACAAATTGCTTTCTGTGGTATGTTTTTTACTGATTAATTTATTGCAGTGCACGCTTATTCAAGCCTTATGGTGTGTTTTCTTTACCAGCCACTGGTGCTGCAACCACCATCTATGCTGTTGAGGCAGATGGTGACCCAAATACTGGGTTTGAAAAGTCAAAGGAGCTAGGAGAAGTACAGTATCTTATTAAATGGAAAGGTTGGTCACACATCCATAATACTTGGGAAACTGAAGAAACACTAAAGCAACAAAATGTTAAAGGAATGAAGAAACTGGACATCTATAAGAAAAAGGATCTGGAAACAAAACGCTGGTGAGTATTTTTATAACTACTTATTCACTCCTTATTTTTTGTAATATAGATGTTTTGTTGTGGGTTTGTGAGTTCCATCGCCTCTTGTGAAGGCATAGTTTCAAGTGCCTATGCAACAGGAAGACAAAAGCTATAAAGTTGAAGCTTCCCTAACACCTTATGATCCTGTATGATTCTGATCATAGAAACTTTACTTGAGCAAGTGAGAATGCTCACACATCTTGTAAAATGAGGCCTTTAAGGAAGCAGCTTCTGCACCTAGATTTTAATGTGTCTGTTAAAAATGAAGTTTTAACAAGATGGGTGCCGGGTTTTCTGGTTTTGTTTTAAATCTTACCTTTTACTAATTGCATCATTGATTGATTGAATTTTGATCAGAGGTCTTCAGGAATTGCTGCAGAGATTAAAAAAGAAAACCAAACAGAAATGGTTAAAGCACTCAAAACATTACAGCATTTAGTTTTCTTGGCTCAAACTTCTGTTAAAGCCTCAGAACCAAGGAGTCAAAAAAATCCTTAAGTTTTAGTGCTGTGTTTTAGGATCGTATTTTATTAGTATGTATAATATATAATCTATGAATAGTGGGCTTTTTAGTGATTCCTACTTATAAGATAGATTTTTACAGTGAGCCATCAGTGATGTTCTGTAAAAATGCCATGTGAAAAACATTACTCAGTGTTGAGAATAGATATTGTAAATTAACTGTATGACTAGTACAAGGTGTAGCTGATAGCAATGTCTTTTGATAAGCTTTCTCACTCATCAGTGGTGAGGTACCTAGGCCAGATACAGGAATTTCAGAGTTGTGCTTTCTTCAAAGAAGCTCTCTAAGCAGCATTCCTACGGTGCTATGTTCAGAGCTTTAAAATTGCCAGATTTTCTTAGTTTTAGAGATACACAATGTAATAAGTGCTACAAATAAATTCCCATTTCAGGCTGAAAAATGCTTCTCCAGAAGACGTGGAATATTATAACTGCCAGCAGGAACTTACAGATGATCTACATAAACAGTATCAAATAGTGGAAAGGATAATTGGTATGTGACAAACTTCCAGATGGAAAAGTGTTGAGAATATTACAAATTTATAGCTTGCATGTTGTTAAGAAATTTAGGTTATTAATATCCCTAAAAACTTAAGGCGAAACAAAATCTCTGATGAAAAGAAAAGTTGTCTTACTGTCTTTGCTGTGAAACTAGTTCATGTATCACCTAAAATGAGAGCTTTCTTAAAATACAGAAGGAAAATATTGATCTGGTATCTCTGATGCATTTCTGCAGCTCATTCAAATCAGAAATCAGAAGCTGGTTATCCAGATTACTATTGCAAATGGCAGGGTCTGCCTTACTCAGAATGTAGCTGGGAAGATGGTGCTCTCATTGCCAAAAAATTTCAGATGTGTATTGATGAGTATTTTAGCAGAAATCTATCCAAGACTACTCCATTTAAGGACTTCAAGGTGAGTGTGTAATTTCAATGGATTTATGCAGTTGCAATAATAATTAAAAAAGGTTGACATATTTAATGCATTAAAAAAGATGTACAAGATAAAATATTTTCTGAATGTTGTCCAGAACAGTAATAATGATAGCTATAGTTATATATGTTGCAAATATCATTATTAAGAGTAGTCTTTTGTAGATATTTGTTTCCTGCTTATTTTATTGCCGTTAACAGATAGAATTGTTTAGTACCTCAATTTGTTTTAAAACTAACCTTTGTGAATGCGTTCATGTCACTTCTGTTGTGAAATTTAGAGTGGCAGTCAAGCTAATTTTAGCTTGCAAATGGGTTGATATTTTTATATGGTCTAGTTGTGATTAATAAAGTCTAGACTTGGTGACCAAACAGATTCCTACTGCTGCTTTGTTTCTATAAGACATGTTGCGTAACTTCACCTAGTAGTAGGAATGATGTTCAGTTTGCTTTTGACAGATTCTAAAACAGAGGCCAAGGTTTGCTGCACTAAAGAAGCAACCATCTTATATTGGAGGACATGAGAGTTTAGAGTTAAGAGATTATCAGTTAAATGGACTAAACTGGCTTGCTCATTCATGGTGCAAGTAAGTATAGTCTTCAATTAGTCTTGCTGTTTTGAATTTGAAAGCATTTATAAATTGTTTGTTTGTTTGTTTGTTTGTTTTTAGAGGGAATAGTTGTATTCTTGCAGATGAAATGGGTCTGGGTAAAACAGTACAAACAATTTCTTTTCTGAACTACCTGTTTCACGAACACCAACTGTATGGGCCTTTCTTGCTAGTCGTGCCACTTTCTACCTTGACATCTTGGCAAAGAGAGATTCAAACTTGGGCTCCTCAGATGAATGCTGTTGTTTACTTAGGAGATATAATTAGCAGAAATATGGTGAGTATTTCTTTGTATCATTGAAAAAGATTAGTGGTAAACAAGGCATACTTCATGTTCCTGTATTATGCTAATCTCCAATATTTTGATTAGGAATGAGCAAATACTCATTTCAAACACTGTATGTGTTAAAAATGCAAATTAAAAACATAAATTTTGAGCTGATATAAATGTATGTGAAAAAATCCATTCCTGCTTGATAATAAAAAGAATTAAAAATGCGACCTTGCATTTGAAAATGAATTGTCTTTTGTCATGTGATTATTTAGGTGCATAAAATAAATATTTAATCCAGACAGACAATCTTAATTTGTTTTCTGAAAGGAAGAATCTAAGTAACCTTATCCATTAAAGGTTGAAAAAAAACCACCAACCCCCCCCAAAAAAAACCCACAAAAAAACCCCTGAAACACGCACAGATAAAATCCACAAAAAACCTAACTAAACAAAAAGCAACAAACCCCCCCCACCACTGTTTAATAACTTTTTTTTAAGCTTCATGTGTTGTTCCTTTTTTGTGATGAGATTCTTATATGTCACTTAACATCTATATTGCTGTAGTACCTGAAGTCATACTGATCAATAAGACCATTTTTCTCTACCTTATAGTTCATTCGATTTTTCTTGTAGATAAGAACTCATGAATGGATGCATCCACAGACAAAACGATTAAAATTTAATATACTTCTAACAACTTATGAAATTTTGCTGAAGGATAAGGTAATCACACATCTTCAGGGAGATAAAATAATTTGTAGAATGTAAAACTCCTTTAGAGTTGGCACATATTTGGGTTCTGGGCCATTAAATGGATGGGGAGTATGACAACTTTACTCTTGGAAATATGACAGTGAAGTTTTCTTTAAGCACTTCTAGATTTCATGTATATAAATTGAGGCTTTCTGCCCCCTCCCCCCCCCCATATCAAGTGGGTTAAACTTTTTTTTTTTTTTTTTCAGTTTGCTTGAGCTTCACGTTGCTGTAATTTCTTTGCATCTCAAAATCTCTACTTCTCTGTTAGGCCATCACCCTGGAACTGAAAAATCAAACCAACCCCTATCCCCAAACACCTGTGATTCACAACTCTGAAATCCCATGTTTTATCTTTGTATTTGCGTGTGAAGTATTATGTATATTACTACTCTCTTCATGATAGTAGCACATAGAGTTATTGTTAATCCTAACAGCATATGAAAATTTTAATTTAAAAAGTTGCTTGTTGGCTTTTTATTTCATTTGTTCATACATGCTGGAAAGAAGATAGTTAATGGTGGATTTTTTTTAATTTTTTTTCTTTTGTCAATTGGAAATGTATAGATCAGCTTTTTGCCTACCTCCTCCCCCCCAAGTATAAACATGGGATGCCTGCATAGCCTTTTGTTGAATCTAGCAAACATAAAAACCGTAATTAATACTAAAAACATGTGTCCGTTCATTATTAAAATAAAAGGAGTGATGGTGTATATATAACCTCATGTAAAATACCAGAAACTGCATAATATATTAACTTGTGTAATGTTTCCCCCCCACCCCCAATTTCTTTAAGTCATTCCTTGGTGGTCTGAATTGGGTATTTATAGGAGTTGACGAAGCTCATCGTTTAAAAAATGATGATTCCCTTCTGTATAAGACTTTAATAGACTTTAAGTCTAATCATCGTCTTCTTATTACTGGAACCCCTCTACAAAACTCCCTCAGAGAGCTTTGGTCTTTGCTGCACTTCATCATGCCAGAAAAGTAAGGAATGTGAAACTTTTTTATGTGTGTGGTCGTTTCTTACAGTGGAATATTGTAATGATTGGATAATCTGTTAACAGACATAAAGAACTGCATTGTGAAATAGTTTAAATATTTTATATAAAATAGTTGCACACATTTTTCATTTTTTTGGTAGCAGCTGTCACTTTTTCTGTTTTAGCAGTCCCCAAAAAGAAAACAAAAAAAACCCAACCAAACAAACAAAAAAAGGATTGATGCATGACTCAAACCTGAAAAGACATTTAACCTTAATCTAAAAGGAAACTCACATGGATTTACTCTAGGGAAATAGAATAGGGCTGGGAATGTCTTCTTTTCTTAGTACCATGAGTGAAAACGAGATTGCACTACACTGCCCATATCCAGTAATTCAGTCAGGCAGTGAATTTGCCCTTATAGTTTGCATAGTATAGGTTTATTGTATTGATGTTACTCTACACTGGCCTCTGTTTATATCTGAGATAAATAAGAGCACATGTTCCTTTTGGATAGCTTGTAAATACATAGCACTGTAGTTCCATTTAGTTTTGGAGTTATGCATTGCAATGACTTCTTCAGAACCTTACAAGCAAGGCCACTAAATCTGTTGTCTGGCACCTATTCTTAATTTGATCGCAAAGTCCATTGTCTTAGTCTGTTAGCACATGTCGGAGAATAATTACATTTCATCTAGTCCATACAAGCTGCAAAAGGTATGCGGTCTGTTCTCTTGCACTTCCTCCAGCTATGCAACTAATTTTTCATGCTGATCTTGAGAAATATAATGGAATTTCTGCAACCTTCTACCATGCAGAAAAGTAAAATGTTGGGTTTTCGCTGGAGAAGTTAAAATCCAGTAGTTTGTTTTGAATTCTGCAAAATTTTGGAAATTTCCATTCTCCTATTTGCATGCAAAATATTTGGAATTTCTTGTGAGATGCAAATTCACAAACTTATTAAATAAAACAGGGGTGTGGGGAAGAAGTCCATATGTGTTTGTGCACATGTGGTATATTTATGGTCTTTGTGTGTCTATGATGTTCATGGTATGTCACTATTTTACCTTTATTCTTTCTTATGTTGAAGGTTTTCTTCCTGGGAAGATTTTGAAGAGGAGCATGGCAAAGGGAGAGAGTTTGGTTATGCAAGTCTTCACAGAGAACTTGAACCATTTCTACTCAGAAGAGTTAAAAAAGATGTAGAAAAATCTTTACCTGCCAAGGTTGAACAGATTTTGAGGGTGGAAATGAGTGCATTACAGAAGCAATATTACAAGTAAGTAATGACACTTTTTAATTCCTGTAATTTTAATGATATATCTATATGAAAATTTCTGAAGTGTAATAGTTCTCATAATGCAATTTGAACTGGTATTTTGAGAGCTTACATCCTTCATATTTCCACAAATGGTTAGAAATTACTTTCATTGCACATTCTATATCATAGGTGGATTTTAACCAGGAATTATAAAGCCCTGAGTAAAGGTTCAAAAGGCAGTACCTCAGGATTTTTGAACATCATGATGGAACTCAAGAAGTGTTGTAACCATTGCTACCTCATTAAAACACCTGATGATAATGAATTCTGTAATAAACAGGAGGCCTTACAGGTAATACCTTTAAAAAAAACTTTTAATATGCATGCAGTAATATTATAATTGATGCAGTTTATAACAACATAAATGTTTCTAAAGATCAGGGTTTTTCTCTGTGACCTTTGAAGTTCATAATTTAAATACTTTCTAAAAACTACTAGATTGAAATCACAAGTTGTCGCTGCACAAGCTATTTTATATTATAAAGTGCTTATCAAAGCTAAAGGATGTTTCATTTGTAACTTGGCACACTAACTACTTAAATTTGTAATTAAACCCATCAGAAGTGTTCAGAAATTATTGCTAATAATTGAATACTTGTAGCAATTATTTCCTTGTCTCATCTGAATAATCTGAATGATACATCCTTCTTCTTTCTGGCATAAAGAATAAAAGCACCTAACTCCAAAGTTTTTATTCCCCAAAATTCTATCCTGAGCCTCTTCAGCTAAAGAGGCCTAATACTTCCAACATTAAATTCAGGGTGCACCTGAGTTTCTCTTCTAGTTGTTCCCACTGGAGCTGAGAAGAGTTAACATTGTGACCTAGATAAAGCCTGTTGCCCTCTACAAACAAGATTACTCTCACTTTTATCTTGCCTAAGGAACCTGACTGACTAGGCAATGTTTAAAATTACTTAGCAGGTCAAGTAGCAATGCTTATTTCTGTTCAAAAGAAAGGAAGTGAGGAACAAGTAGTACTAAGGTAGTCAGGTAGTCTGTTGTTATTTATTTGTTAGAAAAGAACTTGAGCCTACACTGTAATTGCTCTAACTCGTAGCACACTATATTTACTTAACATTTTAATGAAATGTTAAGCATGCGAAGCAGTTGACTTCGCACCTCAAGACTGCCTCTGGTAAGAAAGAAAGAAGGGTCATTGTAGTGGGTGATTCCATTCTGACAGGAACAGAGGGCCCGATATGCAGAGTTGACCCTCATCATAGGGAAGTGTGTAGTCTGCCTGGAGCCCGGATCAGGGATATCACAAGGGCGCTCCCCAACCTGGTGCGCCCGACAGACTACTACCCGCTGCTGGTCTTCCAGACGGGTGAGGGGGAAGTTGCTTCCTGCA